TTTTAAGAGAAAATTGACTCTGAATTGCTCAGAGAATGTGCGAGTGAAGTTTGTTGGCCACGTCATGGTGAGCCTTTTATGCGCATGATGAATGACTCCGTAACGACGCGTCAATATCGAAATAAAACCCCCGCATCCTTTCCAGCTCGTTCCCTATTACGTATGATCGGGATAAAAAAAAAACGCACTTCTGTAACGCCGGTTTCCCTATGCGCGGCAAAATTGCATGGTAAAATCGCGGCTCTAAGCGAAAAGAGGAGAAAAGCGTGTATAGGGAGTCGAACAATACGTCCCTCCCGTACCAAAAATACGCCTTCCCCCGACTCGACGGCGTCACGTACCGACTGCAATTGCATCGCGACTTCCGAATAGGCGACGAACGTGCGCACCACCCGCGCCGGGGTGTGTGTACCCCGAGATAAACTCGGGTAAGGCGCCGTCGTGCGTCCGGATACATTATCCACGCGGAGCTTCCGGTTATCTCGAGTCACCGATCGTTACCGTGTATTTCGCGGCGGACGTTGAAGTCTATTTTTTTCTCTCTCATTTTCCTCTTATTTTTCCCCCTCCGATCTGTCCTTGTCTCTTCCTATTTCTCCTCCGGCGACGTAGACGCGGATGACATCCCGATGGGGGGGACGACTGCGCTTTCTCGATTCCCACGACGCCCTCGTTCTCTTCCGTACCGTCACGCCGCTCCGCGACCGACGCCGCGGGCTGTAATTGCAGTTTCCTTTTATTTCGAGTCCGCGCAACGCTCGCGGAATACTACTGGTTTAACCGTGCTTTATAAACTTCACCGCGTCTTCTTACAGCCCCGATATGAAACTCGAGCCCGAGGGGGAGGGTTGTCCGCGACCACGGCCGCGAGCAGCGCGGGCGGCGCGAGACCGCGCGCCAGCGAAAGAATTTTAAGTTTCCATCGAACGAAGTTGCACTCCCGCGGAATTTCAATATCTTCGCCCGTAATGGACCGTTACTGTACGCATTACGCTCCATTACGAGCACGCGGTTCACCGCGAGGAGATCTGTAGTCGTTTAAGCGCATTCGACGCGTTGCCTCGAATGGTGGTGCAACGTATACACCGACTTATGACTCCGAAGAAAATCAATCTTAAAATACGTAGCGAGTATAAACGCTTGCTTGAAACAATTTGGAAAATAAAAAATTCGTATATTATATATATTTTTTATTTTTTTAACCAATTTTTCATATTGTTTTTTATTATTTTGATTTTCACGTTATTGTAATCACAAATCCAAACGGATCTAAAAAATAAACGAAATGAAAAGAGAATATAACGAGTCATCGTGTCTTTTATAATTGTCACGTGCGCAATCAAAGTTTGTTAAGTCAATTTAGTCATTGCGCGGTTATCCGTGATTTACGGGAAACCTTCCGTAAAACAATGTGTCTCAATGTGCAATGTGCACATACATAGAAATGAATGCTCTCGCGGGTCACCGCGATGCTTCTATGGTTTTTACATATTTCAGACAAATGGTACTATTTCTCGTTTGTAATTGCAATGTACAAAATTTAGCAGTAGCTCGCATTTACGAACTATTGCCTCTCAAGTAACTTTTGTAGAGATCGTTAAAGGTAATAATAATGACAATAACTTTATTGATTGTGATGTATAACACAATAGAAAACAATAGTGAACGGATAACGCAAGTTGCAGAGAAAAAGCGAGGCTATAAATAATATATGCTTAATTGTAAATCGTATTTTGCCGGGATTCTTTCCGATGGGAAGGTCTGAATATTTTCTCGGTAATCGCTTTAAGCACTCGCCTTTTAATCTCCATTATTAAAACAAGCGAAGATTAGAACTATACCAACTTTTAACTTAAACTTTTGCCACTATACTTTTGCTACAACGCTACACGCATACATGTATGCACGTGGCGTAATGTGTACAACTGGGAGTCCGCGCATTTTTATAATTTGCTTTACTGTCAGCAATACAATGTGTAAAGTCGCCGGCTATGATACGGCAAACGACGGTCACGATATATATACGGATAGCGTTTGATGCCGCTGATCGTAATCTGTACAGTTTAACGATCGAGTGAAAATTTTATGTTCTACGTACCGCGGCAATTGAAGTATAGATAAGGTAACGCTACTGCAAACCGTTCCACATACCTATTAACTTTACAATCGTTCCACTTTGGCGTAATCGGCGTTTAAACCATGACAAGGACGTTGCGTCGATGGATGCTGCTAAACCCTTCATTAAAATCTCATGCGCAGTCTTCGACTATATCACCGTTTTTGCTTTATTTCCCTATAATGAACAACTTGGAAACCCTTGACCAGTTTAAGTAACAAGTGGTACAAAACTTTAACGTGACTTGGAAGTTTAGCCGCACGATTAAATCTGATTCGTCACAAGAGCGAAACAGATATTTTCAAGAGTATAAAATGAGTGAGGATAAAAATCTATCTCAGGGTAAGACGGATTTAAGAGAAGTTTGAAATATAAATTATAAACCAAAAGCTAACAGAACGCGGTGGAATAACGGTGACTTTCATATATCTCTATAACTGACAAGAATTGTGTAAAACAATCGAAGCCGTAAATTTGTGCGAATCCACGCATCGACGCTATACATGAATTGTGGGGTACATTCTTTATTATTGAATTCTCTCTTTCTTTGACGACGCGTTTCGCGCGCAACCATTTTGTTTACAAAAAAAAAATCCCAACGAAATAATTTTATTGTATAATATACTCGCATGCTGTGTTTTTCCCCAAACTCGTGTGTTCCCCGACCTATACGGTCCCCTCCCAGCGACATTCAATTCCGAACAGAACAGCCGTATGTACGGCGTACAAACCATTATGCATTTGTGTGCGCGCGTTACACGCCGGGGGTCCATCGTTGGTTCCTGATATACACGAGAATTCGCGGGGCATGGGGTGAGAGGGCAATGAGGGTCAGGGGGGAGGGAAGGGTGCACATACAGCGGCTTTGATTTTCAGCCCACGATACGCTACTGCCAATTATTCAGCGTACATGTTGGCCCATTGTGAATCTGTCGAGAGATGGCGGTCGATTACTGCATCCGAAGTGGAGCCGTTATGTCAATTTGCATAATGCATCGATTAAATAAACGGGTTGCGGTCCTGTCCGATGTCGTGGAGCACGACGGTGGCGAAGGGCGCGTCCCCCTCCCCCCCCCCCCCAACGCCGCCGTCGTCCGCAAAACAACTATTGACAGGCGGCGAATTCTCGACGCCGTTCACGTCCTGTGCGTACGTCAAAATTAATGTACGTTCCGCCCCCTTGCCCCCCCACCCTCCCTCCCCCTCATCTTTTTCCGGCGCTCGCGCGCACGCGACACGTCACATCACGCACGATAACGATTATGAGGTTGTCGCCGATGTCGCTACGATGACGGTCCCGCTAAAACTTGTCCTTCGCCATTAATTAGCGGCGTAAATCGCGGCCTGAAATTCCATCGTGTCCTTTTACCTCGTGCCCGTGTCGTAAATCAGAACGCATCATTTGTCACTTGCGCGCATTGGCCTGTCCCCCCGGTACGTAAATGCCGAAATATATATATATATATATTGGATCACCGAATAAATTGTCGTCTTGCTCGATTTAGTTTCGCGTTTAATGCCGCTATTTGCCCAAGCCGTTGTTGCATGATAATTGCGGCACGATCCGACGACGTGTTCCGCCGACGCCAATAATTCCAGACATTGGCGAAACGATCGCTAATCGTACAATTATTGTCCGTTCGTTTTATTGGCACATGCGATAAATATGCGCAGCGTCCCGAAAAACCAATACCATAATAATAAAATTATATTTTCTATCGGATACGGAGATAATTTTTCTTTAGCGGAATTTTTGGAACGTTCAATAATAATTGAACTTTACCCCGATTAAATATTGAATCCAAAAGTGTGAATAAAATAAAAATGGTAGATTCTCTCTTTCTCTCTGTCTCTTCTTTTTATCTGTGGTTAACTGGTTAGATGACCGACTCGCTAGTATATTTTTTGTCTGATACGGAAAATATTCATTGTAATTTCCTTTTAGAGACACAGTCAGTGTCGTTGCAACCAACCGTGTTAATTAGTTCAATTATTATCATTTGATTAAGTTTTTACGGTATTATACTTATCAAAGTTCTCTATGCGCGACTACTAGACATTCGCGATAGGAATGAAGAGAAAGTTTCATCAGCTGCATAATTGTGCACGTTTGATATTTTCGTACTATCTATAGCGTCACGTCAAATATATAAACAATAACTGTCTGACATTATTACAATCTCAATGCATTAATATTGTCAGATACCTGCGATACAGATCTTTCAAACTTCTTTAATGAAAATTAAATTGATCATATCATTTTCGATAGAATTGATCACAATTTTTTTCAGTTTTAATTCTCTGCATCAAATATTTTATTCAGTTATTGCTGGCTAATCAACATAAAAATCTTACTAAGAGAAACCAGCTGTTCGTCATTTGTGTCCCTGCTACGTATTCCCTCACATTTGCTAGTTCATTATCCTGACGTTGTGATATGGAAAATCGATACCTATACGAGCATCGATATGAGCGATCCTAATGCAAGCGCGTAAATATTTTCACTATGTTGAAAGCAGGCGAATATTGCAAGCGTAAACATTTTCCCGGTTACCTGCGAAAGCGACGTACATACAAAATACTTAGCCTTAAACGTGTGCCGGCGTACATAAGCGATGACGGAAGTTTCGTAGAAACATAAACTGAAGACTGAAAGGAAGAAGCCTTACATAACAAGAATAGAAAAGTACCGATCGATCCGAACCAATTATTTGTTTTCACCAATCCCATTAGCGAACGCAAACAACGAAGAGAGAGAGAGAGAGAGAGAGAGAGAGAGAGATAGCGAAACTCCCCCTCTTTCGCAATTATACATTATATTTTACTCCTCTTTCCGCGTCCCTATCCCTCTGCCAGGAAACCCCCAAGTTTTTCATTCACTTACGTGGCTCGTCGACGTCGCCGAGCAGAACTTCCGCTACGACGAACCGGGCCAGCAAGCTCATCAGCAAAAGCATCCTCTCCATTGTAAGCGGAATGAATCCTTGCCTCCACCTCTTCCTCCTCCTCCTCCTCCACCCCCTCGTGCAGGTACACCGTTCTCCTTCTTAAATCCCGTGCTTAAGTGGGAGCCGACGCGGCTGATAACTTTCAATGAAGACGAGAGCGATCCCCCGGTGATCCGTCAGGTCATCCGGAATCTCGGTTCTAACGGGCGCATCTCGTCATAAGACGCGGCAGACGACGGCGGAGATCCGTCGCATCGATCCTGACCCCCTGGTCGGCGAAAGAGAGAGAGAAAGAGAGCCGGTCCTCCGGCGTCCGATTTTTACCGGCGACGACTCCCGATAAAACGTCCGATGTACACTTTTAACGGTAACGAGCGGGGGCGACGGCGGGGCGGTCGCGACCTGCGCTTTGAGAGGAGGCTTAAGTGCAGTTGACGGAGCACGCGAGGCACTTCGCCGGCAGATTCCCGACATAAAACTGCGGGATTATAAGTAAGTCGCCGTAACTTCTTAAGGGCTCCGCGCGCGATTACGCGCGTTATTTATGTACGCAAACTCTCTCTCTCTCTCTCTCCCTCGAACGTCGTCTAACGGGGTTACTCGATCGGGTAATAGTACATCCTTGCACAGTCTATTGGCGTTCATTTCATACACCACTAAGTCTCACACGCGCGCACGCGAAACCACCCATCCCACGTCTCTTCTCCGTCATCGCTCGGCGGATATAATGACGTAATGATGTTTTCGAGAAACGTGGGACGGAAAAATCGATATCCAAGCTTATAGATGACTCCCGCGGTTCGTCGTGGTCGCGCGATCACGGGTCGAGCGTTAACGCGAGCGTTTTAGTTAACACGCCGCCGTACGCCGCGCACGAAAAACATTTTCACGTTGTTCGCACCTTGGTATATCGGGATTACCGCCCACCCTCGTCCTCGTGCATCCTTCGTCCTCCGCAGAATTCACGCCACGCCGCTCTTAATAATTACAGCGCGAAGGTATGGGCGATTAGGCGGCGAACGCCGAAGCGTTGGCATCTCCCATTACGTCGGATCGATCGGCAGACTTCAATCGATCCGACGCGTGATTTCAGGTACAAGTGCGGAAATTTATCGATCACCTGGGGAGAGTCGTCTGTGGGGCTCACATATACGTATTATCTGTTCTGTCGCGAAAATATTCTCTCATTCTCTTCTCGAGGGAGAAGGAATTCCTGTCCCCGGCCGCGTAATTCCGCTGATACCAGATCGCGATACTTAGGGTCAGCGGCCGACGACGGTGGCGAGAACTCGTGCGAGAGTTCCCTCTGGGACACGTCTGTAGAGCCACCGCCGCGTGAGGGTGGTCCCGTCTCTCACCCGCTGTCGTGGGAAGCCACTTTCACCTGTCGCGCATGGATCCCGCTTCCGGTCCCGACGATCGACATTCGGATCACGCGCGGGGGCGATCAGCGATCCCGGAGATAATCCAATCGGCGAGGTTCCCCAAACCGATCGGAGGTGGTCCTCTCAGAGGGAAACGCGGAACCCCCTGCTCAAGGTGGAAGGCGCGCTCACTGCTGCGTTGCGGCAGGCCTACTGACGGTGCCGTCGTAGCTTTCGGCTCGGCTCGGCGCGACTCGTGCGGCTCCGTCACCCTCCGGTGCGGCGGCGGCCGCTTAAAGCGCCCGCCGATCACTTTTCATCCCCTTTCGCGCCCGCGCCCGCGCCCGGCATCGTCCTACTCCACTGCGCCGCATCCCTCCTTTCGGACTGCACGGTGCACTTCGCGAATCGGGGGTGAACGTTAGAAAACGACTGCTGTCTCGCGAAAAAACGCTGAGACCGCGGGAACGATACGGAACAAAGGGGAACGCGGGTCGTTTGTGTTTAGCTTGTAGCTCGGGAACGTGAGAAATAAAGGTTAATGACTCGAGGAAGTAATCCGCGCCGGCCAACGACGAGCGAAGAAACTCTTGAAGTGCTACGGATAGAATTACGAAAGTATATGGAAATTTAGAAGGATTTTACACGTAGACTCAAGTCCCGGCCTAATGTCACGAATAAATTAAGGAATTATTATTACTCCCCCATTTCGAGTAGAATTTTATGTTTTTAAAATTAGTTGGCTGATGAAAGCACAGTGTGCAGAAACGTACCAACATTGTATTTAAGATATTCCAACATTGTATGATGTTAAGATATTAATTTTGAATTATATTATTCGTTATTGCTCGTCAGTGGCCGTATTTACTCTTGATTTTTGTTATATACACACGAGCGTGTTATTTAGAATTTAATAATCTTTGTTTTTAAAGGGATACATATGTAACTTTAACTTTCCTTATTTAATATCCAAGACTCGATATCGCCTTTCGATGCGTTGCATAATTATTTCCTGAAGGCGAGAACGAGCAATTCTTTGCCATGTGGTGTTAAAAGGGGGTTTATGTCAAATACACGTGGGCACAGATGGATATTACGTGCAATACAAAGCATTTTGTAACTCTCTGCGTTTCACGCAAAATGACAACTGCTGCGCGACCTAGGACCGTCAAAATGCCGCGGTTTGCTGCGTCCTGTGCGTCTGACCGACCACGTTCACGACTACTTCGCGCCTCTCCCTTTCTCTCTCGATCGACTAAAACTGTACTTGCGTGTTATGCGAACTTCAGAGAGAAAATATTGGAAGAAAGTATTATTTAAACAGAGGAACAAATTGTTTTAGAAATAAGAAGGCCACTAAATCTAATTCTATAATATAAAGTGTACTTTTTGTAACGACATTATCTACAATAGACGTACGTCATTTCAGACTCGATCGACAATAATTTTGAACTTCTACTTATATTGACCGAGAGAAAATTGAATTGATATAAATATTGGATAAAAAAGCGAAAAATATAAAGAAATGGAATATCGTGTAGAACATATATTTATAACATTATTCATATTGTTGAGCATAATAAATAGCGAACGAATGCGTCCGTTTAAATGATTATTAAAAAACACTAAGATAGCAATTAATTAACATTAAAAATATATACGTTTTATATAAATAAAATTCAACAATCAGAATATGTGGCCGCGAATTCCTTTTTTTTATTATTACATTTCTACCAATTAATCCCTCATATCCACGCGTCCCTATACACTGCACGCAGTTTTTTTTTACGTGTGTTTTGCATTGCAGTGCAATAAAAAAAATTCAAGAAAAATGACAACTGTCAATGCATAAAAGCGCGAGTATTAAAAACTAAAAATTGAATTACAGAACAAGCCGGATTTAATTCGTGCACCCCGCGGGCAGTGAAAGTGATTTACGTGTACGTCGGCTAACCGAAAAAAATTACACATGTGTACACGCGTGAAGCGCATGCATTGCATTGGGCATGGACATTTGAAATTCGAGAACATAACTGGAAAAACGTAAAACGTTAACTCTTTGTCAGCTGTCTCTTTTATCTTTATTTAAAAATTTTATAAAATTTGTATCGCAACAATCCTAAAATGGCTCAATTCCGAAATTGCCTCCCCCCCCCGCGCCGTGTCAATAAAATTTCCTCTCCAAAAATATCTTCTTTTGAGCAGAGCGAGCTTGCAATTGTGCAATAACGCTTAACCTTATGTTTATACACGCAACACGCAACTTGTATTGAGTAGTCATGCCAGCTATCCACGTTTGCCATAATTATTAGTATTCGCTAATAGCGCAGGTGCGCAAAGTGTACTCACATTAAGGTGTACTCAGGACGAAAGTTTATTGCTTCCGCAACAAGTTTCTAGAACGCCATTGTAGAACGATGATTCGCTCGAGATATTACACTTGCCAAAATGAGAATAGTCCGAAATACCCGAATATTATCTCAGTACTACAGCGAAATATTGCTATTTATCTCATGTATACAATATAATATGCTTATATGTGCACAATTGAAGATAAATAGCTTATTTATAGTTATTTCTGGGTTTCACTAAACCAGCAATGAATATTTAGTGGAAGAAGAAATGTAAACATTACATGAAGAAATGTACATTAGCATTTTAAATTTATAAGACTAGATCTGTAATACTGATAGCCATATTAAAATATTACTGTACATATCTCCGTAATTAACACAAAGAGAGTGCATGCTATTTATAAAATTTTTAGCATCTATAATTAATTAGCAAAGGTATGGCAATATCTCAGATTAATCTAGTTTTAACCAATTTTAGATATATTCTAATAAACGCACGTAGGACTGAAAGCGAGGCTGATAACCTAGTTAGATAAGCAGCAAGAAGAAAATAAATCTTTGATAAGGATATTTTTGTAAGCGCCAGGTCTTTTTCGTTAATAAAACAATTGAGAGAAATAATAAATCTCTATTAATAAGAAAACCTTTCTATTTTGTCGTAGACTTTTATTAAGTAATTATTTATTGTTATCTTTTGGAATATAATTCCTTTTTTAGAAGTTATATAAAATCAAAATAATTGGTAGTGGAATCGAGACCTCTTCACACCGTGGACTTTCCAATAGGTGTATTTTGCGGTGATATAATAGTACGCATCGTTAATTCCCTTTTAGCAGCAACGAAATTTAATTATTAATTTTTATCCGAAAAATGACGTAATAGTCGCTACAAAATTGCGCTCTCAGATCGCTATCGTTAAGATTCTAAATTCGGTTACTATGCATAGTATGCATATTTGCTCTTGTAAAACTTTAAAGTCGGACTTTATCAATCATTATCTTTATCTTACATAAAACAGGTGCGATACGGTGAAAAAATACACTATTTGAAATTATTTTGGCGCAACTTATGCGAAATATCCAACATTGTTTTTACCGCAGTGTTGAAAGAAAACATTTCCGTGTTTTCTTCTATTATCTTTATCACTGAAAAATCAATATTAACATTGAATGTAGATGTTAAAAACAATATCAAACATTGACATTCTTTAAGCAACAGATATCAAGAAGCACGGTACGCACAACGAGATATGATAATATAGATAATATATCTCCTTATCTTAAAATATTTCGTTGACATGGAAAAGTGTTTAGTAAGTGTTTGTAAACACATTAACAGTTTACTCGTCTCAAGAACTAATATAACAGCACAATGTCAAAATAAAGAATATATTGTTTTTTTAAATTATATTAATTAATTAAAACTTTGCTCTAATAATTACACTTTTATTATTAAGAAGTAATTGCTGTGTATTGTAAGTAAATAAATTTTTATTTATTGTTTATTATTATAAACGATATAAAAAATTATTAAGATATATAAAATATCATATTTTAAATATAATCTCAGATTGTGTATATGATCAATATATAATTAGTGTGTGCACATATATACATACACATATTTTTATAATAAGCAACAATCGATGTACTTTTATATTATAAGAAACTACGCTCCAGAAACTTTTTCTATTTTCGCGTTTATGTGTGTATATATATGTGGGTGTGCAATCTTCATTTTAGAAATTGTAATCCAAGTTTAACTTCTTATATAATAGCAGAAACTGTGTATAGAATGTTTTCAGTTCTCAGTATTTTAAAATGTTTTATCTTTTACCATAATTTATACTTTATAATCATTTAAAATCGGTTCTTCTCTTATAAAATTAATTTCAACATTTATAGTAAATATAAAAATTAAGCGGTAATAAGAGTACTAGTGTTATATATGATAAGAAAAAAATTTAATATAATTAGGAAAAAATTTCATACGTTAGTTATTTTTTCAAATATTGTAAGATATTCAATGGTAGGTAGTATTTAAAAAATAGGTATTCAATGGTAGGTAGTATTTAAAAAATAGTACGTAATTTATATAATATTATTTATTTCATATATTTTTTGATTAATATTATAATTTTTATACGTTTGTACACACCCGCCATGCACGTAAACTCAAATGTGTCAGAATAGCATTGTTTATATTTACAGTATCATGTGTTATTTCTAATTAAAAAAATTTCGCATAATTGCGAATATGATATTATTTTTGACGCGTGATATGATAGAGAGGAGAATATTATTGAAATAAATGTCAGCATATATTCAAACTGAAACGTCGAATTGTCGATAATATGATTCTTTTCAATTGTTCTTAACATTATTACCGATATTATGTAGCGTATTATGCTGGGTTGCTTAATTAATTATCTAACACGTAATATCGTCGCGTATTCTGTAATCTGATATTGTGGCAAAAAACAGACAAGAGCTCAATAAAGATTATAATAATCAAGTGTACATATACCATTATCTGTTTATTTGATTACGCAATTGGAGCATTATTACGACTAAGTGATATCATGTCAATGACACGAAAAAATGCTGTTGAAATAATGTACTCTTACATGATTTTGCAAATGTTCTTACAAGTCATTCTTAATATTACTGTATAGTATTGTATACATGGCAAATTTATCCAGATGATTTAAAAAACTCTACTCTTTATTTACCGTGAGCCTTGTTTGTCGCGATTTGCGACGCTAAATTATCTGAATATGATTTATGAGTTCTAGCATTACAAAAAGTTCTCGATTACACGTTTCAATTTTTGTTTTATTAAACGTTATCTTAATGACTAAATATACATTGTAAACATGTACAGCAAATGTTACGTAATGGGACACGACACGTCCATACATCATTTTGCATTGCTTAATTTACTAATAAGTATACATATATATATATATATATATATATATATATATATAGCACAATACATACAAATCACATGACGTTGTAATTATCCTGTTAGGCGAGTTTGGTCAATTTTACATATATACCGTGAGTTGTTTGCAACATCAAAGAGCTCAGCGGGGCATGGACAATTGGAATCTGGGTTTTCTCGCAAACGTCTATTTTATAATTCATTAGCACTTTAATTAGACCAATCTTGGTCTGATTAACGGCGAATCTTGCCCCTAAAAAAATAGCGCATGAAGTTTCAATTATTTCTCAAATAAAGTGCTTATGTGTGCATGTGCGCGCGCGTGCATATGCATAAAATGAGCGTACGCTCATTTAAGAAAAAATAAATCTATTAGTTTCTTAAATTACCGATACAGTTTCTTGG